GGGATCCGAACCCTCGGACGGGAGCGCCAGCCGCGCTTCCCAAGCGGCGCACTATCCAGTGCGCCACCGGGCCGGCCCCGAAGTGATGTTTTAAAAACAGATTCAAGGGCCGGCCCATGGCTCACTCAGGAGAGTGCGGTGCTGATAACACCAAAGCCACGGGTTCGGATCCTATGCAGGGATGGCTGGTTCACTCACTGGCTGAGTGTGGTGCTGACAACACCAAGCCAAGGGTTGAGATCCCCTTACCGGTCATCTTTTAAAAAAAAGTAAAAATAAAAATAAAAACAGATTCAATAGTGAGTAATGCCGAAAGTCTCTATGGTCTTTGAACAATGGCTTGAGAAGAACAAAACCAGTTCTGAATTCCAGCTCTGTCTCAAACTGCTTTGCTTTGTGACCTTAATCAAGTGGCTTAACTTTTCTCAGCCTCAGTTTCCTCAACTGTGAAGCTGAGCTCAATGTCTGAGGGCCCTTTTTGCTCTTTCTTCTGAAAGCTGATGTGCTATTTGTTTTGGATCTTTCTCATTTCCTAATAAATACATTTGGAGGCTATACGTTTCCCTTTGAGAACTGCTTTGGCTGCATCCCACAGGTTTGACTATGCAGTGCTTTCATTTTCACTGAGTTCTAAATATTCGAGTATGATGTGTTATCTTTATCTGCACCCAGGACTTCAGTCATGCCTGGCCATGACCCCTTCTCCCGGCCCAATCTCTGGCAGGTTTTGTACCTGTTCAGCTATGAGGATAACTAAGATTTCTATCGTAGTGGAACAAGGACAAATGCTTCAGCTGATAGCCGCAGGCACAGATAAAGAAAGGCTGATAGACACATACATGAATACACAGACATGGGTACTGACACAGAGATAAGTGAAAACACCTAGATAGTAACAGAGATACAGAGCAGGACACACAGCAGAGAACGAAAGATCGACAAAGCCTGTGGCAGAAATGAACCCACAAAAATAGACACACAGAGTTTCAAAGAGGAGCTGTTAGATCCTGTCATGGCGTTTTTCTGTTTTCTTTCTATTTTTTTTTTTTGGTGGCTGGCAGGCATGGGCATTTCTTTGTTTACTGTTGACCTCCCCCATGATGAGGGAGCTGGGTCTACCTTGGCCACTGCCCTGTCCCCAGAGCCCAGCCTATAGTAGGTGCTTAATTAACAGGCGCTGGAAGGAAGGAAGGCATCTGAAATGTACGGTAGTACCCCCTTATCCCCAGTTGTGCTTTCTGTGGTTTGTTACCCATGGTACAATACAATAAGATATTTTGAAAGAGATGGGCTGGCCAATTAGCTCACTCTGTTAAAGCATGGTGCTGATAACACTGAAGTCAAGGGTTCAGATCCCCTTACCAGCCAGCCCCCCCCACAAAGAGACCACAATCACGTAACTTTTATTACCGTGTATTGTTATAGTTGTTGCTAATCTCTTACTGTGCCTAATTTATAAATTAAATATTATCATAGCTATGTATGTATAGGAAAAAACAGAGTATGTATAGGGTTCAATACTATCCATGGTTTCAGGTGTCCACTGGGGGTCTTGGAATGTGTCCCCTGCAAATAAGGGGGAACTAGTGTACTGACATAATACCAAAGCAATCTCTTAAAATGAAATAATAATAAAGATATATGTTCTCGGGCCGGCCCGGTGGCTCACTCGGGAGAGTGCGGTGCTGATAACACCAAGGCCCCGGG